ACGTTCTCCAGGTTCTCCAGCCAGGTTCTGTAGCCATGTTCTCTCGCTAGGTTCTCCAGCCACGTTTGGTCGCCAGATTCTGTAGCCGGGTTCTTCAGCCGAGTTCTGTCTAGGTTCTCCAACCAAGTTCTGTCACCAGGTTCTAGTCAGGTTCTCTTGCCAATTTCTGTAGTCAGGTTCAGCCCAGGATCTTTTGCCTTGTTCCATCTCTAGGTTCTTCTCTAGGTTCTGTGTGTAGGTTCTGTCTTCTAAGTTCTGTCTAAGTTCTGTTAGTGCTGTCTTATCCTATATAATAAAAGGCTAGTAAGCAAATCGGCGGAACGACCAGTTGCTATGACGCACACTGATCACCAGGGGGCAGGTGCTCATCGCAGGAGCTGCCCCCTGGTGGTCAGTGTGCTCCCACAGGGGGAGCGCTGCTCAGCTAGAAGCAGGGCTCACGGATGGCAAATCCAGCAGTGGTGGCGGAAGCCTCTCCTGCCTCGCCTTTGTGGCAGCGCTAAGGACTCCTTGGGGGATGTCTGCAGGGAGTGGGCCTAAGCCAGCATTTGGATATCCCCCGAGTGGTTCTGGACTGCGAGAGGACGCAGGCCGGGTTGAGGGACCCTTCCTCCCCCACCAGTGCACAAGTGTCATGCATTGGGCCTCTACTTAGTTATATGAAACATTCATTTATTAATTTTCTGCCCTTTTCCAAGTTGTAGTTAATGTTTTGGCCATAGCCATTTTGCATTCAGTGGTATATGACCACAAAGATGTGGACAAGTCATATTCAAACTGCAGCAGTTAAAATCTTAATTATAGTTTATGTTGAAAGTACATTTAGAACTTTTATTTTTTTAGTCCTCACCCAAGTATATGTGTGTGTGTGTGTTTTTAAGTTGATATGAGAGGGAGAGGAAAGAAGAGAGATGGGAGGGGGAGAGAGAGAAACATCGATGTGAGAGAGAAATATTAATTGGTTGCCTTCCACACACACCCCAACCTGGGATCGAATCCACAACCTGGTTATGTGCTGTGACCAGGAATCAAAGCTACTGCTACTACCCTTTGGTACACAGGATGATGCTCCAACCAACTGAGCCACAGTGGCCATAGCTACACTGTTAACATTTTTTTTTTAAATATATTTTTTATTGATTTTTTTATAGAAAGGAAGGGAGAGGGATAGAGAGTTAGAAACATCGATGAGAGAGAAACATCCTTAAGCTGCCTCTTGCACACCTCGTACTGAGGATGTCCCCACAACCAAGGTACATGCCCTTGACCGGAATCGAACCTGGGACCCTTTAGTCCACAGGCTGACGCTCCATCCACTGAACCAAACCGGTTAGGGCACACTGTTAACATTTCTATGTTTCTCTCTAATGAACTATGTCTGTGCATATACACATACAAATTTTACATGAAGGGAATATTATAGGTGTTATACCGTATATTAAAGTCTTATGGTATACTAGAGGCCCGTTGCACGAAGATTCGTGCAATAGGCCTTCCTTCCCCTGGCTGCTGGCACCGGTTTTCCTCTGGCACCCGGGACCCAGGCCTTTGGTCCGGCCTCAGCAGCGAGGCTTGGCTTCTCCGCTTCGGCTGCAGCGGAGAAGCCAAGCATCTTCCGTCTTCAGTCGTCTTCAGTCTTCAGTCATCTTCAGTCGTCTTCAGTCTTCACTCCGTGCCTGCATATGCAAATTAACTGCCATCTTTGTTGGGTTAATTTGCATACTCATCCTGATTGGCTGGTGGGTGTAGCGGGGGGACATCAATTTGCATGTTTCTCTTTTATTAGTGTAGATATCTAAATCATTGTTTTTAATACCTGTATACTAATCATTGTTTTTAATGCCTGTACCTGTTAATTTACCTAACATCAGAGATTTAAATAAAAATCTTCATATTTAGTTTATTTTATTCATTAGATTCCACATATGAGTGAGATTATGTGATACTTGTCTTTCTCTGACTGGCTTATTTTCCTTAGCATAATACTCTCCAGGTCCCTCCATGCTGTTTCATAGGTTAAGAGATCCTTCTTTTATACAGCTACAAAGTATTCATGGTGTAGATGTACCACAGCTTTTTTATCTATTCATCTACTGATAGGCACTTGGGCTGTTTTCAGACCGTAGCTATTGTAAATAGCACTGCTATAAACATAGGGGTGCATATGTTCTTTCTGATTGGTGTTTTAATCTTCTTATGATATATTCCTAGAAGTGGGATCACTGGGTCAAATGGCAGTTCCATTTCTAATTTTTTGAAGTGATTTCATATGGATTTCTATAGTGGTTATACCAGTCTGCATTCCCACCAGCAGTGTAGTAGGGTTCCTTTTTCTCCCCATCCTAGCTAGCACTTGCTGTTTGTTGATTTAGTGATGGCAGCCATTATGACAGGTGTGAGGTGGTAGCTCATTGTCATTTAAATTTGCATCTCTGTGATAATTAGTGACGCTGAAAATTTTTCCATATGTCTCTTGGCCATTTGTATGTCTGCTATAGGTTAAGTGTCTATTTAGTTCTTCTGTTCATTTTTTTTTATTGGATTGTTTTCCTTTTGTTGATTTGTTCACGTATTTTATATATATTGAATATTAATCCCTTATCAGATGGTCATTGGCAAATATGTTCTCCCATACAGTGGGTTCCCTTTTCATTTTGATGCTGTTTTCTTTTGCTGTACAGAAACTTTTTATTGATTTTAGAGGGGAAAGGAGAGGGAGAGAGATAGAGAAATGTCAGTTATGACAGAGAATCACTTGTAGGCTGCCTCCTGCATGACCCCTACTGGGGATCGAGCCCATAACCTGGGCATGTGCCCTTTACCAGAATGGAAATCAGGACTCTTCATTCCACAGGCTGACATTCTACCACTGAGCCAAACCAGCTAGGGCTGTGCAGAAGTTTTTTATGTTGATGTAGTCCCATTTGTTTATTTTTTTCTCTTGTTTTTCTTGCACTAGGTGTTGTATTAGTGAAAATGTTGTTACATGAGATGTGTGATATTTTTTTTAAAAATATATTTTATTGATTTTATACAGAGAGGAAGGGAGAGAGATAGAGAGTTAGAAACATCGATGAGAGAGAAGCATCGATCAGCTGCTTCCTGCACACCCCCTACTGGGGATGTGCCTGCAACCAAGGTACATGCCCTTGACTGGAATCAAACCTGGGACCCTTTAGTCCCCAGGCCAACGCTCTATCCAGTGAGCCAAACCAGCTAGGGCAGAGATGTGTGATATTTTGCTACCTTTGTTTTCTTCAAGGATTTTCACAACTTACATTTATATCTTTTATCCATTTTTACTTTATTCTTATGTATGGTGTAAGTTCGTGGTCTAGTTTCATTTTTTTCACATGTAGCTGTCCAATTACCCCAACACCATTTATTGTAGAGATTGTCTTTACTCCATTGTATGCTCTTGTTTCCTTTATCAGATATTAATTGAGCGTAATGGCTTGGGTTGATTTCTGTGGTTTCTATACTGTTCCATTGATCTGTATGCCTTTTTTTTTTCTGCCAGTACCAGGCTGTTTTGATTATGGTGGC